AAAAGTTKGGTTTCAGTTGTTCACGTCGTGACACGTGTCCTTAACTTTTGGGCTTTTGTTTACAGTTTCACGTTTTAATCTTACTTTTAAGTCCAAAATAAACCATCATATTAACTTTTATGGGTCTCGATTGCGTARTAGGCCCAAAGTTTTTCCTACACAATCTTTTATTATACATTTAATAAAAGTTAATACATTTATTTATCAGTTTTGTCGAGAAACCTTATTCCTTGAATCTGTGATCCAATCGTCACCTCCAAATCATCGCCTCTGTTGCTGAAAGAGATGCAKATTCATCTCCGCTATTTTCGCAGAACGGTTTGTTTACACTTTATAAAAGGAACGCTCGCGAGCACAATCATTCACGAAGTTTCAGATCAATTTCGGGTACTTTTTCCTTTGAAACATTCAATCTCTTGTTAAATCTTTCGTCTGTTCGCCAAATTATCTTACATTCTACTTACTATTATCATCTAACAGGTTACTATGGCAAACTCCGAAGGACCTTACTCGACACTGGAAGATCTTGAAAAAGATCCAACAAAGCGAGATATCGTTGTTCGGCTTATCCGAAAATGGGAGGCACGTAATCGACGTAGAGGGAGCCGCTTGCTGAGTGAAGAACTACTGTTTCTAGACGAGACCGTAAGAGACCTACTCACTTTAACCAGTTTCTATTCTATGGATTCTGTCATTTGCTCACGTTTTCATTTTATCTTTGTGTAGGGGCGTTTAATAAAGGCTTCAATTAATCATCGCCTCATCAAATATTACAAAAACATCTTCAAAGAAGGATCTATCTACCATATAAGTAAGTTTGTGGTTGATGAGAATAATGAGTTGTTCAAACTGTCAGATCACAAGTATTCTTTACAATTCACTCATCTTACAATTGCTTCCGAAGTGTTGGACGATGCACCTACAATTGAGAGAACTAATTTCAGAGTCTATGATTATGAGAAGTTGGTTTTGTTGGCCAACAAAAATCAAATCTTACCACGGGAGTTGCTTTTTTTTTTATAACTTTTGTTAGAAAAATGGTTTCAAACTTAAACTGATTTTTTTTTCCCTGTAATTATTTCGTTTTAGATGTTGTTGGAAGAATAACTTATGTGTGGGGTACTCAACTTTGTTATATAGGTTCCAAAAAGAAGATCATGGCAAGAATTGTTCTTAAAGAGTAAGTTATAATCGGTAAAGTGATTTTGTAACCATATTAATATTGACTATTATCTTTGTCTTTTTCATTTGACGAGCACCGGTACCAAAGTTCGCCTTTCTATCTGGGACAACATCGCTTTGATTTTTTTTATCGTTCCTTTTCATGACGCAGAGGAAGCAATGTTTTGTCGTCATAACAACAGTTAATCCTAAATTGTTTGCCAGTACGTTTAGTTACATATTAAAATAGAATGTATATAATGATTGTACACAAACAAATAATTATTCGATATGTGTAGGAGATCTCTATTTGAACACTTCACCGACTACTTGGTTTTATCAATACGATGATCCAGAAGAATTGGAGAGTGTAAGGTACGTAGTCTATTAAGAAAACTCTGTTTTGGGTTTTGTTGGGAGAGGAAAAGTTAATAAGTATTAAACAAATTTAAAAATCTATTCAGACATCAATCTGAATTTGTTCAGAGTTCTCCTCGAAGAGCTTGAGTTAAATGAATAAAGCTCATCAATGAAGAACATCTCGCAGATATTATGATTTATGGATATTGTCGAACCTCAGGTTGCACTTCTTTTTTGTTTTTAATAATAGAATTTGCTTATTTTCTTTCAGAATTATTTCGAATTTTCACAGGAAAAAAAATTTCTCTGCTCCGCTAGAATAGTTGATATCGTTACTCGAAATGGATGGCACAATATCTCTGCCAGACCAAGTGAGAAGCCCTGTCACTCAGTAATGATTTACAGAGTGTTAGTGTTGAGAGCAAAGACACTTGCAACAACTCTGACCAGAAAGGGAAAAAGCTGAAGTTAGACGATGATTTCATTGCTATTGAAGGGACGAAACGTCGAAGGAGCACGAACAGAAGAACGCATCAATGAGATTAAATTATTTAAAAGTTGTATCTCAAGTTATATTTTACATTAGTAGGATGTTTTAAGTTTCATAATAGCATATAAACCTTGATTATTTATATACCTACTGTATTTTTTAATTTGTGCTGTACATTCGTACATTACTATGTTATACATAGTTTAATAGTTAAAACGCGTATTATATTGTTATAAATTTATGATGTTGTAATGTACTCCATTTCCGTTTAATAAAACTAAAATTTTTGGTCATACTTTTATCGATTACAGTAAAATTTATTTAAGAGCAAGAATTAAGGGACATACGCTACCTTCTTCAGTTCATAATTATTTGTAAACAGAAAACTAAAACGTGTGTAGGGTGTAGCGTTGGCTCTGATTCGGGCATATTTGCCCTCGATGGGTGATGTTACGGATATTTGACATGTCAAGGATGAAGAACTGAGATTGCTAATTCAAGTTCCAATTAGAAGTCTAGAGATCGTTGCGAATTGCGGCGGCTGGACTTGGATCTCAGAACGCGCTGCGATTATGATCGTTCTCGAATGCAAAAGTGTTAAAATGCACGTTTTGGGGTGGAATAAGGTTTGTGATAATCAATCATGGAAACAAAGTGTCACGACTCTATGCACATCTAATATTCGTACATAGGTTTCATAATTTAATATTCACCATGTGAATAAACTAAAAATATGTTAGATCGTCTACTTTTCCAAATATAAAAATCCAGCAACATCTCGAGATCCAAGTTGACTATCTGAAGAAGCTTGGAGGTTCTTATGGTTATTCCTCTTATGAAATTTGATTGAACATTAAGGAACCATTATAGATAAAACAAGAAGAGGAAGCACGCAATGATAATATATTCAGAAATGTATACAAACAATACATATCTTATCACGTCAGGATGTAATGTACAATACCAAACGTAGAAGTTTTTCAATTTTTTTCTCGAGGGCGCAAAAGTGCTATAAGGCTATGTTCGGTTAAAGGTCAGTTAAAAGAATGTGTAGAGAGCAATGACTTAAGGTTACCATTATGAAGATTGTTTAGAGAGCGACTGCCCTTGGATATATAAGACATAATATAATGCATTACATCACATGTCTTTGCAATTCTTCAGATGCAATGAAACATTTATTATTTATTATAACATGAGTCTTAAGTCTCATGTGGGTAGGAGGGTTTATCGGCGTGAGGATTACCACTCTTCGATTCAGTTTCGTTTAACAATTTATGCATAAAAATTTCAATCTTCTTTACGGGGAAAAAATATTAGCAAATTCATTTTATAAGGGTATAAAATTAAAAAATAAATACAACTACCCACGCGAATACACGGGTTATATCCTAGTTAAAAAAAAAAGGTAACAGATTTACAAAGAGAACATGATGGGTTTGAATGATAAAGACATGATTTTAAAATACTTTTGTAAGTATTTCGACCAAAAAGATGTTTTCAAGTTAAACCCATCACTAAATTAATCAAATACTTTTAATCCACAATCACACGCAAAGATAAAGAAAAGAGATTAATTTTGGTAAACTTTAGATCGAATAAGAAACTCGTGACCAACCCTCCAAGGAGAGACTCGTCAACTCCTAATGCTAACATGGAACCTGGATTTGGACCAAGAATCTCGTATGTTTTTAATAGGAGTTATCAAGTCACTGTTTCACTTGACCTGGGTTCGAGCCAATGATGCCGTAAGGCTTAAGGAGGTCAAGCTCTTGTTCAACAATATTTAGGTTTGGTCCAAACATACCGTACGGTTTAAGCAAGTCAAGTCCATCACTAACTTGAGTTGAAAGTCTTATGATTGTCTTGAACCACTTGACAATGACCAGGAGGACTATGATTTGTTTCAAGCATCTGTTTCTTGTTCCAAAAAGCTCTTCTCTCTGTTTTAATCTTAGAAGACTGTTTATTCAATTGTTCACATTATTGGGTTTTCGGAAGAACCAAGAAACAAAACTCCGAAACCAAACATTTTTAGAACGAAAAATCATTTGTTCTAAAAAAATACTAAAAGCTACCGCATCAAATGGAAGAGAAGGCTTGATGAGACAGCGAGAACACAGTCGGGGATTAACTCAGCGGTTCAAGCGCATGAATTTATCGAGCCAGTCCATGTTTACACTCTTCGGTCTCTCAATAGGCAGTCCAAGTGCCCGGTCCCATATAAGCTGAAAGC